TGCCCAGCACAGCACTCCCTCCTGGTACAGCCCTCGACATGAGGCGGGAGAGGACAGGAAGTGGCCAGGGGCTCAGAGGGAGCAGTGAGTGGAGCAAGGAAAAGAGCAGGGCCGTTCGGGGCAGGCGGGAGCTGCCTCTTCCCAGGGCCTGACCCCCTTGGTTTTCCCTCTTCCTCAGGCTGCGGCTCTCCACGGTGCACGAGCCCAGCAGCACCTTGGTGGTGCTGGAATGGGAGCACTCGGAGCCGCCCATCGGCGTGCAGATCGTCGATTACCTCGTCCGGCAGGAGAAGGTCACCGACCGGTTGGATCATTCCAAAGTGGAGACGGGTGAGGGGGGGAGGGGCGTGTCGCTCCAGAGCCGGGCTCGGCCCAGGTGCCTCTTTTGCTCTGGGGGCAGGGCGGCGCTGGCCACCCATAGAGTCCGAGCAACGCCCTCGCCACGTGGCCGCGTTTCGCAGCATCGGCTTGGCTGCAGAGGCGGGAACCAAGAGCAGGACGCCTTCAATAGCAAGGGGGCCCCATCCGCCAAGTCCTTGAACCCGGGCTGACCGTGAAGCCCACACGTCAGTACTTGGCTGTTGCTCGGGTTCTTCTGGACGGTTGGAGGCGAATCCATCCCAGGGGCTTGGCGGCGTGCCGCGGAAGGATGTCGGCTCGCGCCAAGGCAGCCTTGCTCTCCCGCCGTCAGAACTGGGGGCCCAAATCTTCAGAGCTAGCTAGACACACGCACGTCCTCGTGAGGATCGGGGCTCTGAAACTTGGCATCTTCACAGGCGCCCCTGCCACAGCACAGAGACGCCTCAGGGGGAGAGGGGAGGGGCATGCCATGCACCCCTGTCAGGAAATGCTGATGAGCACTGTCCAATGGCCACTGATTCGCCCTGTACCCTCTTATCCCCGCGTGGCCAGAGCTGCAATCTCTACGCCCACAGATTTCTCTGGTTTTTCTCCTTAGTAGTCTGCAAATACAGGTGTGAATAGTTTGAGTTAGCCGCCCCGGGTCACTCAGGTGCTGCAGTGAGGGACATGCACCCCTGTCAGGAAATGCTGATGAGCACTGTCCAATGGCCACTGATTCGCCCTGTACCCTCTTATCCCCGCGTGGCCAGAGCTGCAATCTCTACGCCCACAGATTTCTCTGGTTTTTCTCCTTAGTAGTCTGCAAATACAGGTGTGAATAGTTTGAGTTAGCCGCCCCGGGTCACTCAGGTGCTGCAGTGAGGGACCGACCTTATGGAGACAGCCAGGAGGTCTCGGTGATGGGACCGTGGCCGGACCGTGGCACTCCTCCCCCTCCCCCTCCCCTGCAGACCCACGGGAAGAGACGTGCCTGAAATCTCCTCCTCCTTTCCCTAGAGACGGTGCTGAGTTTGGTGGATGACATCATCTCCGGAGCCAAGTCGCCCTGCGCGATGCCGGCCCACGTACCCGACAAGCTGTCCACCACCATCTCCTTGATCATTCGCTGCCTGGAGCCCGACACCACCTACACGTGAGTAACGCTGCCTCCTAGTGGCTAGCACCCCTGCTTCTGATTGGCTGCGCTTAAGCTTTCTCCTCATCTTTTAGGGGGGCCATGGAGCGAGGGGGTGTTGGTTCTCTGCCCTGCCTTGTTGGGCCGGTGTCCTCCTGGTCCGATGTGCAAATACTCAATTAGTATCACCTCGTTGGCTGAGCTTGCCAAGGCCAGACGCTCAGCTTGGCTGGGGCCGTGGGTGAGCAAGTCCAGAAAGCGTTTGAGAACCCTGTTGCTTGGGGGGAAGATGGGGAAACCAAACGGATAAGTGGATTAGCACAGCCCGGGCTTCTTGCACCGCTGCAGGTGTGTGGAGCTTGATGGCCCCTGTGAATGCCTTCCAGCGTAACGAGACCCCGTCTCAACTCTGCCTAACCCCTCCCCCGCTAGAGTTCACATGGCCACCCCCGAACGATCGCTCTCCCAGGCAGGACGAATGGTGAGAGGGGACTGGGCAGATGTGCGAGAAGAGAGACTGAGAGCCCTGCACAGGCGGGAAAGGGGGCAGGTGTGTTTTATCCCCCAGCTGTGTCAGTAGAGGGGCAAGCCAGGCTCAGCTGCACGAGGGGATCCCCCTCAGCCGCCCCGGCGGGGCCTCGTTCCCATTGGCAGTCGCGGCCCAGCTGCCGAGGGAATCTCCATGCTCTGTGGATGGCAGAGAGCAGGCCAGGAGGAGCCAGGCTCAGCACACGGCATTCGGCACCGAGGATGGAGACAGCTGACTCTTTGCATTAGCTGCTGGCCAGGGCTCCGCACCGCGTGCTGGGCTGTCCGCTTGACTTGGCTGTGCTGCAGAAGGGATGACCAGCCAGGCCCGGCCCGTGTGCTGCGTTCTCCCCTCCCACCGGGCCGGCGTGGGAAGGCCGTGCAGGCCGGCGTGGGCGCCTGTGTCGAGCAGAGTGAAGTGACACGCATGGTAGCGTTCCTCCTGATGGGCACCTGCCATGTGCACGGGCGTGTGAGCCGTGTCTGCCATCCCGGTGCTGCCATAACAGCTTCCCTCTCCCCCAGGTTCACGCTCTGGGGAGTCGATAACACCGGGAGACGCTCCAGGTCAAGCGACGTGACGGTCAAGACCCCCTGCCCGGTGGTGGATGACGTGAAGGCTCAAGGTAACCGTTGCGGTTTGGGGGGGGCAGTGGAGCCCTGGTTTGACACGGCGAAGTGGATTGTCAGAGCACGACTACACAGCAGCCCCACTGTGCTTTTAGGTTAGGCTAGTTGAAAGGGTTCGCCCAGGCCCCATCGTAGGTGGGTCTGGCCCTGGAGAGGGATGGATCAGTCGCTGACCCAGACTGGCGGTGTACGGTATCCCCGTGACAGGTGCATCTGAAACTCCAGACCTGACCAGCCCCAAAACACTGGTGGTGTTTGGGGCTGGATCTGAACTTCTCCGCTCCAGCCCGGCCCTACTTCAGTGGCTGGTCAGACGGTAGGACCCTTTGGAGAGGAACTCTGGCTGCGTCCTCAGGGGGAGCTAAGCACCTAAACCTCTCTTCGGTTCTGGGCCTTGGTCACCGTCTGTGTCCATGCCAACCTAGAGCACCGCCTTAATGCCGACGCCGCGGGATGAGAACGGAGCAGCCGGTTGGGGCTCTGTGCATGTGATCTCCTGGGGGCTTGGGGCTCTCTGGATGGCGGTACTGCCTGAGGGTGCACGGCCCTTGGCGGTACCGCGGCAGAGCCTTGTTTGAGGCTCTGGGAGTCTGGATTGCACGGGTGGGACGAGCGTGTTGGTTTGGAAGGAAGAGCTCGTCGTGCTTCGGGGGGAGGTAACGGGCGGGGGATGGGGTGACAGCCGTACCCTTGTGAATAAACCCGTTCGGTTCCCACTCAGCAGCCGTCAGTGGCTTACGCGGCCTCTCCCAGGCCCGGGTTAGGAACGAGGCCAGTGGGAGGCCGAGTGGATGGCAGCTTGTCCTGCTGTTGGCCGTTCGGGCTGGTGGCAGAGTGTTAGGAAGGTCCCCACGAGGGACGTTAGCGATTAAGCGAACAGTCGTGGAATCGCACAAGCGTATTGGTCGCACGACTGTTTGAGAGCCCCTGGGGCAGGGCCGGCAGCCAGCGCGCTCTGGCCCCGCTCCCGCTGCTGCCTCTGTATCCGAGGCAGCAGCGCAGGGGGGCAGGTGGGGCCAGTCTGCGAGGGGAGCTAGTTTAAAAACCAGTTCCCCGTGCAGACCAGCTCCTGCCTGTATCAGAGGCAGAAGCGCGGGGTGGCACCAGCCCCTGGCGACAGGAGGTCCAAGCTCCCTGTGGACAGAGGCTGTGCTGGCATTTCACAGAGCAGCCTCTGTCTGTGGTAGGGCTGTGAAGGACTAGTCGACTATTTGCTAAGCAAATGCTTATCGGATAGTCGACCAGTCGCTCCTCCCCCCTCTTGCTGACTCTATCAGAGAGAGGCAGCCAGGGGTGGGAGAGAAGAGGGGGGTATTTCAAAGCGGCCGCGCCACATGGAGCCCGGGATCAGCTGGCGACTATCCGATGAGTCAGTTACCCGATACTTCACATTCTTAGTCTGCAGTGAGCCTGGCCCGCCGAGGGCAGAGGCTGCTCCGTGGCAGCCTCCCCTGCCGTCCCTCCCCCTGCTGCTGCCTCTGGTTCAGAGGTAGCAAGGGGTGGGGGAGTGCGTGTAGTCGATAAGATTAACTGATAAGCCCAGGTTTCTGGGTTAATCGTGTACTCGACTGCAGATTGACACCCCTGGTCGCCACGGGGGTGGACATGTCTGTGGCTGGCGTGAAACAATATAGTGTCCACCAGCTTTGACAGGGACAGCAACCCTCCTGCGTCAGGGCGCAGGTTGTCTCATAACTGCCTGGTGCAGGGTTCCTGGCGCCTCCCTCTCCAGCAGCTGGTATCGTCCACTGTCAGAGACATGCCACTGGGCATGGGGCACTGCAGGGCTAATCCAGGCTGGGAAATCCACTGTCCTGCCCTTCGCGTGTGAGCTGGTGACAGGGTGGAAATTGCAGGATGCCGGGGTGGGTCCTGGCCCTAGATCACAAAGAGCTTGCTCCGGACTCCAGCGGGTTCTGGCTCATGGTCCCGGATTCTTACCTTGGTTGCTGACCCGGTTGGATGCTGCTTTTCTTTCCTCTCTGCTCCCCCTCCAGAAATAGCGGACAAGATCTACAACCTCTTCAATGGCTACACCAGCGGGAAGGAGCAGCAGACGGCCTACAACACCCTGCTGGACCTAGGCTCGCCCAGCCTGCACCGGGTCCTCTACCACTACAACCAGCACTACGAGAGCTTCGGGGAGTTCACCTGGCGGTGCGAAGACGAGCTGGGCCCCAGGTAAGCCGTGGCGCCGGCTGTAGCGCGGGAAGGTTGGATTTGCCACGTTATGGCCGTGGCACCGACCGGCCGACACAAGTTCTCGTGGCGCTCGGCGCTGTACAGATGGGGAGGCCTGCCGCCTCCATAGGCAGGGCAGAGACCCGCTTGCCTTACAGCCACGCGGAACACGGGAATTCCCCCCTCCTCTCCCACCCAGCCTCTCGCGTTTCCCTGCAGCTTGGCCATAGCTGCTGTCTCGCCGGGCAGCAGCAGAGGCAGCGGGAAGGGGGGCTGGCCTGGAGCCCATCGCTGTCCCATGGGTGCTGGTGCCGTGAAAGCAGGCAGCCTTGGAACCACGCAGCCGGGGTGCCACGCAGTCCAGGGTGTTGCAGGGCGACCCGACCCAAGGGAGATCAGCAGTCCAAAGGGCCGGACGCCGGGCTGTTGCGAGCAGCACTGTCCTGTGCCCCAGGGAGGGCAAGTGGCATTTGCGGCACCCCCTTCCCAGGAAGGACTGCTCCGGACCGGCGCTAGGCCCGGTGGTAGGGGACACCAAGGGAACGGCCACTGAGTCTCCCAGCCCGCCCCTTGTGGATGTGACTTCCTGAGGCTGCAGAGGGAGGATCAATGTAAATTCTGGGAGAAGAGGGACTTGAACCTCTCTAACCGGGACTCTGTTCCTGGACCAGAGGCCCTGGTGACTGGGAGTCCAGCGGCGGGAGGGCCGGGGGCTGGGAGCCCTGCTGGGGAAGCGGTGGCAGGACCAGTGGGGTTGGGAGCAGGGGGCCTAGCAATGATTCCCCCTGGTCTGGCAAATTCCCTCCTTCGGGACTGGTCCGATCCCAAGGGTGCCGGAGCAGGGAGCTCCGACCTGCAGCAGCTGGTTCCGTTTGGGTGAAAGATCCTCAGGAATAGGGGACAGCGCAGGGACGGGCCAGTCCCACTGGTAACCCCAGCGAGAGAGCAGAGACCGGCCGGGTGAATGCGAGGCCGGCTTTCCTTCCTGCTCCCGCAGACGCTGCGCCCCCCTCGGGCTCCAGGTACTCACGGCGCATCCCCTGCTGCCCCGCCCTGCCCGTTCGCTGGCCGTCTGCGAATCCGCTGCTGGGCAGCTCGTCCCACCGCAGCCTTCCTTGCCCCAGATGAGGCCTGTCTGCGCTCGCGGGGCGGGGGTCTGGGCCCACCAGAAGAGATTCAAAGACAGCCCCCGGCAGCACCCCCAAAGCTGTACAGAGGGGAAGAGAGCCCCCCTCCTCCCAGCTATGGAAAGCGTAGGGGTTCCCAGGCCTCGCCAGCTTGGCTGAGCGGTTAGGTGCCCGGGGAGAGGGTTGCAGCGTCTCTACAAGGTTCGGTTCTTGTAGAGAACCGCTCGGGGCACGGCCGTTGGCATCTCTGGGCGCGAGCCCTGCCGGGGGAGGGCTGGTGTTTTACCGGCACATCCGGACCCCCCAGGTTTCCTGCTGCTCTTCCTCCGTCTCCCGTCGAGAGACTGAGCCCCGGGCGGTAGGGACCAAGCATCATTCTCACCCCATTCTTTGGGGTGGGCACTTCCCCGCTCAGCCCCCGAGGTGCCGGTATTGGCCCTGGCGGAGGCGGATGGCCTGGTGTGTGGCAAAGCAGGCGGGACAAGGTCGGCGCTGACTCCTGCTGCTGGGTTGGTTGGAGTTCCCGAGCGAAGGGGCGGGAGATGCTGGCGGGTCACGTCGGCCCCGGACACGTGCGGGCGTGAAGTGAGCGGCTGATGCTCGTGCCGTGGGAGAGGAGAACGGCGGGGCAGCCGCAGAGGTCTCGGGGGAGGACGGATCTGGCTTTGAGCCTCTGCTGCGGTGAAGCCTGCAGGCTGGCGGGGTCAGGACCGGTCGTTTGCCGGTGGCATCCTATCGCCGGCGGAGCGTTCCTTGGGCAGCTCCCGCCGCGTCCCGGAGACAAACCCAGCCCGCTCTGGGTGAGCTGGCAGGAGGCAGTCGCTTCACCCCCTGCTCTCCTTGGGCGCGCGCGGTCGGCCTGCGCTCGTGGCGGCCGTGCTGCAGGAGGCCGTGCTGGTCCGAAGTGAGAGGTTTTGGGCTAGGCCTGGGCCGTTCCCGCCCTCCGGAGCACGCGTGGAGGGACAAGCTGCATCCCACAGATGAACAGTGGGTGTTAGTGCCTGGTCCAGCGCCCACTGACATGAATGGGCATCTCGCAGGTCTCTGGCCTAGGCCCTGAGGGCTCCCTGCTGTGGTGCCAGCTGCCTGGGGAATGCGGAGCTGCTGCACTGCTGGCCAAGTGGCTCCCAGG